TTATCTCCCAGCCTCACTACAGAGTGATTTAGCAGGGCTCCAGGAGAGGAAATGCTGTAAAGGAGAGCCAAGATGTATAAGCAGATCATAAGGACAGCATATTGGGCAGAGGGGACCTCTCAGCAGGATGGAAGAGCAGCAGTTCCATTAACACACTGTCTGTGACAGGACAAACATTCCTTGTGATGACAGTGTCTGTTTAAGCAATGTCTCTGCTCTCTCCTGCTCCTCTGGTGTTCCTGTGCTGCTCTTTGAGAGGCTGCAGAGAGGACCACAGGAGGGGGCCAACCTAGCAGAGAGGTATTAAGAACAAAGGTGAAGCAGATTACTTAGCTGCCACTACAGCTGAGAAAAGTCAAGCCAGACCCTGCTTCCAAGCTGGAAATGGTTGCTTAATTCATACATAGCATTAAACTTGGAGCAATCTGAAGAAAAAAGCCGGTTAGCACCTGAGGATTATATTGAGGGGTGTTAAGAAAGTGATAAGGTTGTTAATGCAATCACACCCCTCTCAGGAAATGGAAGAGGATGCCATTCACAGGTAATTGCATTTCAGCAGGGTTCCTCCTGCTGGACTCTCCTCAGCTCACTTCATAATAATTCAGCCTGTCCCTTCAAAGTAAGTAGGATGTAACTTACAGGGCATAAAGATCTCCAAAAGGACTTTTAGACCTGCCCTTCTGGTGCTGGAAGGAGGCTGTGCTGAGTCAGACGAAACTTGGTATTATTTTGGGGATTAATTCTCAGTCAGGGTTCAGTGGAAGCTCAGGAAAGTGTTGCCAGCTGGGAACCTTCTTGGCATAATTTAGCCTATTTAGAGTGTGCTACCTACTGAAAAAGGAAACTAAAGGGTCCTTCCTTTCCATACTGTGTTCCTACCACTGCTGACACCTGAGCTCAGCTCCTTTGGAGATGGCAGCTGAGAGTGGCAGCAAGCACACTGGCTTTCATATGGATTTATATAACATGGTATGTACCTGAAGTACTTGCAGTGTTGCCTATGCAGGTGGGAATCCCTGATCAGTTACTCTGCTGGATGCAAGGACTGTGAAGGAGTCTGCTGCCCAGGATCCAAGTTAGAGTCCTGAGAAAGAAAGGAGGTACTTTTAACATCTGATGCTGAACATGCTCTGATGGAGCAAGTCAGATCAACTAATCATACGGATCCTTTCTTGTATAAAAGTAGGCATCATTTGTGAGGAATTGTGCTGGCCTAGTAATGGGCTGAGCTAGCTTCATCCAGCTTGGTGGGGCGGTTTGTGTTAGCAACCATATCCCAGGAACTCCCCTGTGCTCCCAGCAGCATCTGAAAATACAGGTTGGTCAAGCAACACTGCAAGGCAGAAACAAGCCCAAACTACCAAAGCACAGATCCAGTACTGCACCACGGAGAGGACTAGAGCAAGGCTTTACAGAGACTTCAGGTGGCTTTAGTAGGAAACTCCATTTAACGAGATAGATTCACACCCCCACCCAGGAGTTCAGCTTTGTTCACGGGTTTCAGGGAGTTTTAGAGTGCTTATTGTGCACATGACAGGATATGGCTCAGTGGAATGACTCACTCCCCAGTAAAGTTAATTCACACTTTGCTGCTATTTCCATTCACAGGTTCTTCTGTAAGCTTTAGTGCCAGGAAGCTGCAAAGCTGGGAGCCTGTTCCAAATATTCCCACAGGTTACTTTACATCTAGCAAACAGTAGATTGCAGGAGGACAGTGTGATCTCAGACTTTGTTAAACAAAAGCAAAAATCCAACCAAAAAACCCCCCAACGACAAACAAACCAAAAAACAATCACAAAACACCACTACCCCCAAAACCCCACAACAACCTCCCCACACAAAACACAAGTTCCCCAGTCGTGTTTTGTTGGTATTAGTTTCCTATTCCCTTCTAATTTCTGAATCCTATTTGCTCATTACCTCTGTGACATTTTGGGGGTTTTGTCTATTTTCTCTCCTATCTCTCTGTTGAACCACCACACTGCACCCTCAGCAGCCTCATTTCCCAGTCCTCTGACTTTGGAGCAGCTATGGGAGCCCAGATGTGGACAGGCAGGGGTCTTGACCAATCTGTAATGCTGAAGATAGGGCTAAAAGGAGGAGTCCTGTGAGCTGTCTTGGAGAGAACCTTTGCATCCTGTGTGACACAGGCAAAATTTTTCAGCACTTGAACAGTGTTTAACTACCAAGGTACATTAAATAAAACTGGTTGCTAAATTACCCACCAGCCTAATGACAGAGCAGCATACTGTTATTAAGGCTCCAAATGCAAGTCCTACATGGGCTTGATTCAGAGAGTGCTGGGAGGGCCTCCTGACTGACCCCTGGATGGTGGCTTCCGGGGAGAGGCATTGAAAGCTTTGGATGTTTGCTACTCTGTCTCCCCCAGGAACTTTCACCCTGAGTGGCTGCTGAGGTAGAGAAAGATTAACTGAGGTGACAGAAGGAACTAGGAAGGTTTCAGGTATGAGGTGATTTTTACCATTGCTAATGGTGGTTAGGACATCGAGTGAGAATTGAGGCTATTTTCCCTCTTATGCTGTTGTCAGTAAAATGGAATAACTCTTCCTCCATGTTAAAGCCCAACTTGATTTGCACTGACAAAATTACAAACACAAATTGTGGACATTAAAAAAATTTATTTGACCAAATATTAGATGCAATCACAGAGGAAGAAAGTAGCTCTTAGTACAGTTTCTTTTCCAGAATGAAATAATCCCTGTTTCATACCAAGCTACTGCAGGACAACCCTTGCTCTCCTCAGCAGGAGAGAGGTTGGTGCTCTTTCCACCTGTGGATTTTCTCCATAGGGGTATGGCATGCTCTTTGGCAGGTCACACCACAGCTCCCGGTCTCACAGGCTAAAGAAATGTGTAAAGACCCAACAAACTGAACTAGTCATACAGCAAAGGTGCCTGTACAGGTAGGAATACATGCAGGGATGCATTGCTGAGGCCTTTGTTCAGGAAGTGGTGTCCTACCTAAACCTTTGTCACACATGTCACTCCTAGCTACTGCCTCTATACTCACCACCTCTTAGGACTCCTCCTGGACCTGAATGGCATTTCAGTAGGAGGAGTCCTTTCAACATTCAGCTCATTTTGCTACACCATCCTTTTCAGGTCTCGAAGCTTTACCCTTCAAGTAGCTCCAAGGCTGTGGGCAACTTCCCTTTGCAGGAAAACTCATCCACCTCTTTCATCCTGCAATACTGCCCAGGGAAACAGCAGTCTTGTCTCATGTCCTAGGGACTATGTGAGCTGCACCACAAAAAGAGATAGTTGTGAGAGATGTTTGCAGGCATTTCTTTAGAGCCAGACTGCGTTACTTGCATTTGTCTTTTTACAGGCTCACTAGCTCGTGTAAGCTTGCTTTTGGACCAGGGCAAACCATCCATAGCTATATCTCTTTCTGTCACATCACTCCAGAGCATTCCCAAAGTGATGGGTCATGGCCAGATGCAGAGAACCCCCTGAGTATTGAAAGTATTGCTTGACAGACCTGTCACACCCTCTGCTACATAAACCAAAATGAAATGTCTCTGCAAATGAAGATTTAGAAATTGATGAAAGTTCTGTAATAAAATGTGAATAGAGCCACAAGGATATTAATCCCCTGAGAAACAGGTGAGAGGGGAAGGGAGCAAACACAGTGAATGTTTTTCTCCAGCAGAAATTTCATGGATTGCCTTTGCTTTTGATTTCAGCAGATAAAGCAGTGACTTTTAAGAAATGGAAGCACAACAGAAATAAGCCCTGTACCCTCCCTTCCTGTTCTGCAGCCTCAGGAAGAACTGTACAAGGTAAGTTCTGTTCTCTTGTGTAGATCTGAAATGGAGGATTTTACTGATGAAGAGGAACTCTCACTACAACATCCTCCTTTTGATTCTGAACTGAATGTATGGATAATATTACTTTGAAATTGATACCACTAGCAAATTTTTCAGGTCCCTAGAATATTCCCTGAATATTAGGATCTCAGCTAAGTAAAATCACAACTTTCATTTAATAACATTCATTCTTCTTTCCTTCTCCATCTCCCTTTCTTCATTCCATCTTTTCCCTTTTTATTCTCTTCTTTTTCTTCCTTCTCTGTTCTTTCATTACATGCATGGCTCTCCCTCTACATTTCACCCCTTGGTAGTGTTATAAAGCCTTTGCTGACAGAGTTTTGTCGCTGCTAGACAGAGCCGCTCATCACCGTTCCTCACCTGTTCTTTCTCTCAAAACACCACACACACAAAAAGCCTCTCAAAGTAGGTCCCCAAGTTCACAACTACCTCTTAAGATAGGACTATAACACTGGCCCCCAGTAGACAGCCCTCTCAAAAAAAGTTTTGCTCAAAGTATTACTGTAGCTCCCAGTCCATTTTCTCTTCAGCCTGCTAATGGCATTTATTTAGGAAATACCTTCTCAAGGGTACTCTCAATAGAGGGCCTTTAAGAAAGAGTGCTGCTTTTTCACAGCCATGTAACTTCTACCTACTTTGGCAAACAGAATCAGAGGGGGAACCCAAGTCTCATGTTACAAACTCTGCAGCCCATGTCTGACCACATTGCAGTTGCCCCTACCCTACTCTCTGCCAAGCCTGTAAATCAGCCAAAACACAGGCCGATTTCGAAAGTCCCCCACATTTATTATGCTGCATCAGAACTTCAAAAGTGTGTGAGCTTCGACCAGGAAACCGGTCATTTTGAACAATGTAAGGAACCTGCCTGTTCTGGGGTACTGAGTCTTCATGTATTAAAGGCTCCCCTTAGTCTGGGACACTACAGACATGTCCAGCAGGTATTATAGCTGCCTGGACCATTCTACATCTTGGCACAGTGGCAATCTAGTTCATGTCTCCCAGGCATCTGATACCGTACCCAGCAAGACACAGGTTTCCAAGCCCAGCAGCTTATCATACCCTCCTTGCTGGGGCCATAGGAGCAGTCACTCCAAGAAGGTGCAGAGCCAATACTGGCTTTAGGTGTTTCTCCCCTTCCTTTAAAGCGGCTTCAGACAAAGCAAAAGAACTTCTTCCAGCGGCACTTGGAGAGAGTCTTGATGCCTTTGGCAGTCATCTTCTTTTCCTGCCGTGCTTTGTGCTCAACACCACTGACAATGGCCATGTCAAAAACTTCTTTGAGGTTCTTTTGAGTCAGTGCTGAGCATTCCAGGTAGGCTTCAGCCCGGATTTTGTCAGCTAGACCTTCTGCCTGAGGCCGGGGCACAGGCTTCACATGGTAGCGATCCAGGCTGATGAGGACATTGACATCGTCCCGCAAGTCTGCCTGTGTCCCCACTAGCAGCACTGGTGCCCGGGGGTTGTGAGTTCGTATCTCAGGGATCCACTTCTCAGTAATATTTTGGAAGGAGCTTGGGTTTACCACACTGAAGCAGACAAGGAAGACGTCGGTGTCAGGATAACAAAGAGAACGCAAACAGTCAAAGTCCTCCTGTAGAAAAGGAAGGGGGGAAAACAGAAGAGGGGAGGGAAGAAAAAAGAAGTCTTCACTGGACTGATCTTCTAACAGCATGATACTTCAGTAGCTTTTCCACACGTTAACTAGGATAGAAAGACCCTCAGAGGCAGAGCATTGTGCTGATTTTGTGGCCATGCCACGTTTCAGACACAAGTTTCGGAGCTGTTCACCAAATGGCTGGTGCAGGGCTAATGCATTTTCTTTCTTCCCAGTTCAACACTGCCTTCCTCAAAGCCTGCAACAGTCCCTGTCCCACAGGATCAGAACTGGAATATGCTTTGATAGAGCTTACCTGTCCAGCAGTGTCCCACAGCTGAATCCGGACAGGGGCTCCATCCACAAGGACCTGCACTGTAGCAGAAAGAGAATGAGGATGAGTCTAAAGCAGTTGATCAGCATTCACACACACACTCGTACGGGCCATTCCCAAGCACTGTGGGTCGTATCCCATTGAACAGACTCACTGAAGTCACTTAAGTCTGTCCTCCTAGCTGACCGTCCTCCCAAACCTCCCTAAAACAGCTGAAGCTTGCACTGGGAACATTAAGAGACCTGCAACAGACTTTCTGATTTTGTTGGCTCTCAGGTGTTTTGTGTACTTGTCCAGTATTTTGAAAGAATAGTTCCACATTACTGAGCAACTGTTCCTCTAGAGAAGAGGAACCCTTAGCCAAACAGTGTCCTCATTAACCACTCATCCTTCTTCCACAACACAGGAAAGAAGATAAGGATAAAAACAAATTGAGAACTTCAGCAACTTGCTCCTAGCTTCTTGGCCAAGGAAACTCAAATCACTCTCAAACAAGCTATTGAGAGATTTTTCCCATTCAGACCAGAAATCTGGCTTTTAAAAAAAAATTCTGTGAGTGTCCTAGCTAAGGAAAAACAAAGACCTAAACCCATCTTTGAAATGAAGAAGCTATTAAGGAAACAGTGATGAGTGACATCCCCTTTAGAGACTATCCACACACTGAAAACTGGAAAACTGCTTAGTTACACATGTAAAGTTTGCTCCCATTTCACTCCCTAATCACAGTAAGCCTTCATGTGGTATCAGCTGACTCAGACTGAGGGCTGGCAGGACCTCTGATGGAAGTCTGGAATGAAACTGTTAGATGTTTAAGCACATAGATACCACAGAGACTGGTTAGGAATTGAGGAAAAGGAGAAAATGGCTAGGGAGCTGGCAGTCACTTGAAAATCCAAAGTGGATGGGGTTGTGGTTGGGTGAATAGAGGCAGACATCGAGGCTAAGGTGACAATGGCTGGCACTTGACACGAGCTAGCAAAACTCCATTTCTCTGTGCAAAGAGGAGATTTTATTGTCTTCTTCATTAAAAACAAAAGCAAAAGCAAACAAAAAAACTCCCAACCAGAAGCCAGATCAAGTTTTTGGAATTCTTGAAGTAATCAGTCAGGTGAGAAAACTGATAGAAACAACTGACTCAGAGAGTTTAACACAAGCTTCTGAAGGAGAACACTCCTCCCTGAAAGGGGGGGAGGGGGCGGGGGGAGGAAGAGGGAGACACAGACAAAAGATGGCCTGAAGTTTGGTGGGAGACTGGAGGAAAAATGAAGGGGTGGGTGCGTCCACCACAGTGCCACTCCTCACGGCATAGCTGAAAGTCATTGCTTCCTTGTGACTGGGAAAAAGTTGGGTTGTTACCATATCTTTGCCCCAGAGGAGGAAGAGAAACCTGTTCCTGATCAAAGAACCTGCTAGATCCTGACTTGATCTTCAAGGCAGCAGGCATTTGCCTTTCTAGTATCTGGTTTCCTCTGTCTCATAAGTGCATTGAGAGAAGGAATTAGCATCTCTGAAATGTTTTGCTGTCTTCAGAAGACAGGCACCACATATATTACCTACTGCTCCAGTGTTTGCACGAAGTTTTGTCATATCTCCTGCTAGCCTGAGCTACACTAGCAACTCTGCAACAGCCCTCCAAATACCGCCCTCGCAAGGTCCGCACCCTCAGGATGAGGATGGATCACGGTACAATAGCGAAGGGGCCGGCAGAACAGGATAGCCTGGTGGAGAAAGGTCACTGAGTACGCGTTTCACCCAAGGCTGCTCTACCTGGCAGTGACACCCAGCAGGAGGTAGCACCCAGAGATGTATGTGGCTGGGTCACTGTCCCAGAGCCGTTTCCCTAATAATGCAATACCTTGCTCTATCTTGTTATTGGCATCGCAGTCCCATGACCAGGATTAAAGTCAGGATGTAAACTGCTCAGTTCTGCTGGCAGTTGCAATTGCAGGTATTCCCCAAGAGTGGGAGGAATTGGGTTGAAATTTCTGAAGTGGATCCTGAACCATAATTTTTGAATCCAGGGAGGGACTTTCCTCAGATTTATTCAGGTTAAGAGCAGGGGTGGGAAGGGAAACTTATCTATTCTCCCATTTCCTCACAAGAAGCAGAAATTGAACTTCAGAATACCTATTTTTAATGTTTTTGATTTCTATCAGTAGCAAATCCTATGCACCTCTGAAGGCAGGCTTAGTACTTGGGACATCCAAACTGGGGCTAAACCCATGTGCAGCTATTTTCAGATTGCCTATTGCTAATGTGGGCATCTCTGCACTCATGCTGCCTTCACCTTTCTGGATAATTTTATTATGGATTTGCCCTTTCAAAAAAAATGTGCAGGCTAATAACAGTAATTTTAAGCCTCTCTTAGCCCAAATCATACAATCAACAATTCCCAGTATAAAACTGAGCAAGTGGGGGGACATTCAGACAAACAAAACACTCCCTCTAAGCACCCTGAGACTATGACACATTAGATGTCTCATTCCTAGTCTGACTCGAGCACATCTCTAATCTACCAATCTGTATTATCAAGGACTGTTGTGTTTCTTCATATCAAATAAAGATAAGAAATCTTTCAAAGGGCTTTGTATTCTTCTGGGGTTTATATTAGAAATCGGAGCACAAAGGAAGAGGAATGTAGAACAAGAACAAAGATAGCATTTAGAAAAGTGGAAACTAATGAGAGCTCATCAGCTGAAAGGGAAGGCAATTCTAGCCTGACTTACAAAGCTCTTCAACTTTTTGCCAGCTTCTCTTCAATGCTAACTTCAGCACACACGTGGGGAACAGGATGGTTTTCCTGAATGTCAGTTGAAGCTACAAAGCCTAGAGTGCAATGCTGTGATATTTCTGAAGCTAAAACCACCACAAACAACAATAACGAAAAAATTAAGCCCCCATCTATTTAGTCATAACAACACCACAAAACCAGGAAGGTGCCCAAGGTCATGGCACTTGCAAACCAACTCGATACACGCTGGGTTGACACAGAGCCGCAGAACGCAGGACCTCCATCTGCTAAACCTCGAAAAAGCCCGAAGGAGTCGGTCCGAGTCACAGAAACGCCCCCGGGCTGCGCTGACCGCAGAGCACCCGGCGCGCAGCACCGCGGGCAGCTGCGGCACTGGGAGCGCTCACCTCCGCCCCGCTCGTCCCGATGCCGCGTCCGATGGGGATCATCCCCCGCCGCCCCAGATCCCGCGCAGCCCGGGAGGGCACCTACCGGAGAAGGTGTCAAGGGCGGTGGGCTGGTACTCGTCGGGGTACCCGTTGGTGGTGTAGCTGACCACCAGGCTGGTCTTGCCCACGGCGCCATCGCCCACCAGCACGCACTTGATGCCCAGCTCCGGGCCGCTGCCCCGGGGCGGGCTGTGTCTCCGCAGGGCGGGCGCGTAATCCAGGAGCTCCTGGGGAGGCATGGCAATTGCAATGGCACTGGCAGAGGAGGCTCCACAGCACTCAGCGACGGGAACAGCGCGGCGAGGTCACTGCCATCCCGTGCGAGCGGGCCGCTGTCGGGGCTGCCGTGCGGGGCCATTCTCAGCCATGCCGAATCGCTGCCTCATACTACACTGCACCTACCACAAAACCGCCTATTTCCTAGTCAGCCCGGTCCGCCCCGCCGGGAGGTGGCCTGGCTCACCCCTGCCCGGCCCAGCCGCCTCCTCCCGCCCCGTCCCGCGGGCGAGAGCCCCGGTCCTGCACCCCCATCCGCCGCGATGCCCTCCGAGCAGCTCCTGCCCTCGGAATTTCGGTGGGTGCCACGCCGTGCTCTGTGTCGTGCACACATGGGAAAGCTGCACTCCATCCGTCCCCCTCCTGCTTCCTTTTCAAAAGAAGCAGGGCCATTGCCCCACCTGGGGCATCTGTGATTTCTGCCATAAAATCAGGACAGGAATAAAGCCAATAGCGCTGGTCAATATTCCGAGGGACACTGAAAAACAAATGCCCAAAATACATCACATCTGTTAACTGTGTGATTGTCATTACAGTCATTTATCTGATCCAGCCAAGCTCTTGCTTTATGCTGACAAAAGCCACAGAGTGTATTATTTTTCCAGCTGCATGGACATGTGCAGGAGTTCCCAGCCTGCTGCCTTTTTTCATATTCACCTTTGGTAGCTCACAAACCACACTGTGCCCTTGGCAGCTGAGAAGACGGCTCCATCCCTGCCCTCAGGAGCCTCCTGTCTAAAGAAGTAGGACTAAACAAACAGAAGGTTGGGAGCACACCACTTAAAAGGAGAGATGTGGCCACAGTATCGCAGCAATCATTGCACACCAGCCATAGCACCTCCAAGTGATTGAAAACACTAGAGGGAAAATATTAATGCCTGCAATACCCAGTATTGCAACATCAGCTTTGAACATGGATCTGTGTCCTAATGGAGGAGCTAAACTCCGGCTGTCTATGAACACCACTAATTTAGTTACCATGATGTCCTTCATGGTGCTCTCAGCTTGTGTCCTGCTGTGGTTTGCATCCACACTGAGAAGATACACAGGTGTTTTACCTGTATTAACACTAAACTTGAGAAGACATCTTTAAGCCAGGCACAGTCTAGAATGCTTTTCCCTATGGTTGACAGAAAGTCACAAGCGCTGCAACCCTTCAGACTCAGTGGACAAAGCATAACCACTCTTTGGAGACAGCCCACAAGCTTCTTGGGAACAAGAAGGAAGACGGCTTTTTCTTTGCAGTTTTCTCTAGCAGTTTGCTTTAATCAACCCCTTCTGTGTTTTCACTAAAGCACAGCCTTAAATTTCTACAGCCACAAAAAAAGGGGATGGTATTAGAAATTAGACTGCTGCTAAAACATGTGCCAGATAGTCTTACTACAGCAAGTGGCTGCAGTCTCAAGGAACTGGCTTGTATTAGATTAGCCTTTTCTGGTGCCACGTTCTTCAGTGCTAGTTCAGAGCCAGGTGACAGCTGAACTGCTCCAGAAAAGGCAAAAAGTGCTGCAACGTGTGAGGTGTGGCTCTGCCTCCAATGAGACAGGCAAGGACACACTACCCCAGAGCAGGCAGCACATCAAGTGAGGACCTTGCAGAGCTTTTTCGGTGCACTTCAGACACAGGCTAACATTCTGTGAACTATGACATTTCCATTCAATCAGAAGAAATGAATGTAAATGAGGGATTATTCACCAAATTGTTTGCTGTTAGCAGTAGCAGGGGGGAGAGATGAAGCTGACAGTTCTTGTTTCCTGTATACTGTTTATTTGGGAATGGATGTCCCTTAAGAAGATACACTGTTGCCCCACTCCACTCTTTTTCTCTCATTCCTCTCCTAAAATTTCTTCCTTCTGAGACCATGCCCTGAGATTATGCTCTTTTTTCCTTGCAGCTTCTGACAGCTGTTGGCTGGCACACACAACTTGTCAATGAGCTTAAGTGATTTTTAATCTATATTTAAACTAAGTGATTAAGCAAACAAACAGGGCAGCTCCCATGGGTTCATTTCTCAGGTCTTGCCTTGCTCCTGACAGTGAACTGAAGATGCAAGTTTAGTTTCACAACACAGGGAGGAGTCAGACATTTTGAGTTTTCTAGATTTTTTTGGTACAGTTTAGGGTTTTTTGCAGTGCAACTCTGTCCCATTCCCTGAGTTGCTGAACCGACAGCCCACAGGGACCAGCTCTGCCACGTAGGTAGCAGGCACAGCAGGAAAGCCCCACTGCATGCTGCTTGCCTGACATGCTCCTCTGCCAAAATCAGCTGTGTCTGAGTGGGAAATACACAGTCTGCAAGGCTGTATTTGGCCTCTCTCCCAAGAGTTATAATTAGTACAAATTATGATGGTCTTTCTCATGATGTGAATTCCCATCCACCAGGAATTAAGTGCAGAAGGTCAAACTCTTTTCAGGCAGATCAAATATAGATTTCAGGTACTGTTAACATTTAGCTGTTACTCAGCTGAGCTGCACTATCATGTGTAGCTTCTAAAATGAAATAGAAAAGCTGCTCCATTAGAGTACAAAGTGATTTACAGTGGAAATAAATCTATATATTTAGGCAGTGTGTGATTGTTACCATCAAACAAACTTTATACATCTGTACAAGTCTTGTTTTTAAAAGAAACAGTCATTTAGATGAAGACACTTCCTTTTCTTCCCATTTCTAATAATTATAGCCATTTTTCTCACTGCTCGTGTGGAAGGAAAAATTCACCTATTGACCAAATTAAGACCAGTACATAAACCAATTTGGATGAGGAGGAAACTAGGGCTTGTCCCTTGTGGGGACAAAACTATGGATCAGCTCAAACTATTCCACATAGTTTCCCTTCTGAAATGCAGTGTTAAAATTTTGGGAAATTGTGACACTGGGCTTTTTTTGTAGCTACTGGTCCTGACTTCATGGGCTCCTGAGAAATATTTCACCTCCAACAATCTCTTATTCTTCACCTCTGACAACGTTGTCTTCTGTGTACCTGGCTTATATTCTGCTCCCGAGTCTTATCTGAAAGTCACAGACTGGAAGCCACTATTGTTTTTGCAAAGCCTACCGATCTACTCACATTGCCTCAGAAAAAGTATCTCATGTTACGGGAGTTGGCAGAACTCAGTTTTAAAAATATTAGGGCTCCCTTCTTACCAAGAGAGAGGGAAAAAATTATCAGCCACTCTTAACACAGTAGTGAGCAAACACAGCCTTCAGCGTTACTTGCATTTGTGCAGGTGGGCTGCGTATGTCAGTATGCTTCCTTTGCAAGTGGTGCCCTTGGATCAAATTTCTGAATCCTTTTGCGGTGCTGTGCAAGAAAAACCTTAAATGATGAGAAATGGGGGGACGGTGAGAACAGGTGACAATGTCATTGTGCATTGGGGCTGGTGAGCAGGGATCTAAGACTAAGAGTGGGGCTAAACTGGAGTGCAGGTTCCTGAGCAACCCGGGTCCCGCGATGCCAAGGGATACGTTGAAGAAATCAAGATACAGCCACTGTCCAGCCGGTTGCATTCATAGTCATAAGCAATGAGACAACCAGTGCTGAGTCACCCAGTGTTTTGTCATGCACCTGAGTGAGTATCCTCCCTGGGAAAAATCAAGTGTAATTACCAGTTAAAAGAAATGACAGACAAAAGGGTGAAGACAAGAGCCTGAGCCCAGTTTTCCCTTGCGGTGTGCCTTGTCTGGTCACTGCAACGTGCAGGAAGTGATGTCAAATGCTTCTTCATGTCATTTTCTATCAACTTCACAGAGACAGAAACAGCCACAACACAAAAGTCAGTGAAAAATCAGGCTGTGGTTATTGACAGAAAAATTACTACAACTGAAATCAAAGGAAAAAATATTCTAGTATTTGCTTTCTAATATAGAGTTCTTGATTGATAGGAACTCTGTAGTTTCTGAGTTCACAGCAACAAAAATACAATTCTAGAACAGCTAATGGGTACTTCTGGGGTGAACTGGAGATGTGTGGTTTTGAAATACCTTTTGGGAAAATAAAACAAAAAAAAAAGGGAGAGAAACAACATTTAATGCAGCTCTCACTATCCTAGTGCTTCTTCAAAATAAGAGCATGCCATGGGAAATGCACAGAGATGTTCTGGTTCAGCTGTTCACTGCCACTCTAATTAAATGGGGAGGCAGAGCCACAACAATTTAAGACTACAGAATAATAAGTTTAAATGACATGACAATGTCACTAGCTCAGAAAATATTTTCTTAAATGTTCCAAGGAAAGACAAGCACCGTTCTCAAAGAGAAATTCATTTCCCATCTGACTTGCACAGGAATGAGTCCTACCTCTCATCTGTTCTGTAAATAATTTAGAAGTGTGTTGCCATCTGCTGGAGAAGGTACATCTTTTAATACATCAACTGATAAATGTGAAAGAACAGGCAAGACTTAAGGCACTCAAAGCCCTTTCTTTAAATCTGAAAGAGAAACAGCAAATTTCAGACTACAGACAGGTTGGGAGAGAATGGTCTGAGCTTAATTTATTATTATGTCAATCAATTAGACACTTTATCAAAAAAGAGGAGTTAACAATTAACTGGAATGGGCAAGGGAATTAACAAAAGGAAAGTGATAAAGTTCATATCCTCACTGTGAAACAGGGAAAGGCAGGCAGTTAACACCAGTGAGGAGCTGGGTTGAAGAGGGATTGCTAGGAAAACCATAAAATGCTGAAAGACCACTGTCTCAACCAAGTTACCAGTTTCAGCTCCCAAGCTTATCCTTTATGGATCTTCCTTGAAGATCAGAACTGAGGGATTAGCTACAGGGTCTTGGTGACCAGAAAAAGGTTCCTGTCCTTTTTATCCTCATTGTAGGACTGAGAGGTTACGCTCTAGGTTTCCATGGGGCACTCAGTGGGCTTACAAAGGGCAGAATGATCTGGAATGTATATGTAGCATCAACAGACCTTGGTAGTTCACTTGTGGGAGAACTTCTTAAGGCGTCAGGGTATGCAAGCCTGCAATTGCTGCTCTGGCATAATATGGTTCCACCCAGCGTTTACCAGTCTGCAGGAAGTCTGCTTCTGACAATGAGTCTGAGGAGCTTGGGAGGTTGGTTAATCGTTAGGAGGTGGGCTCTGGCAAACTCATTGTTAGCTTTGATCTCTTTCAGGATAAATTATAATTGCTGTATGGCTCCCCATGTAGGTTCCAATTCAGGTTCTCATGGGTAACTGTGATACCCATGGGTACACAGCCACTGCGATTTCTTTTACTGCATTAATTTGTACATAGCATTCAAGTGGTCACTCAAAACCACTCTCCTTTCTTGTGGGAGAAAGTCTCTTGATTGGATGGGAACATAGGTATCTGCAGCACTATCCTCAAAGCAGGTACAGGAGTGTCTGAGAGCCTGGCTGTATCTTTGTTGGTATCTTATGGAGGCTGTTGGATTCGGGGAATTACACCTATTTGCCTATGGCTTTTATGAATGCAGTGTATTTTTTATGTTGACCACAGTGAAGGAATATTCTATATACAGTGAGGTGGAATGATGATCAGTACTGCATCTGTAGTGGAAATGTAAGAGGAAGTCCAGGGTTTAATTCAAATTATAATTGTGTCACTAGGTTCTGCCCTTACCTCTTCCCACAGCCACATCTTCCGGCTGTCTCCTCTGCATCAGCACTCATGTTCAGATTGTGGGTCACATACTCATCTGCTGTAGGGCAATGAACTGTCTCACTCTACAATCATATATGACCTGAGGTGCACAAAGTGTGGGCTGGACAGGGCAGCCAGGAATGACACAGACAGTGTTGAGGAAGCCCAGATTCAGACAGGCTAAATATTCTAGAAGTCTGGACCTTGGACACATTATATGTTTGTCAAGACCATTATCTAGAATCTGTTCCTCAAGACAGCTGAAGAGATTAGCATGTCATCCAGCATCTGGATGTTGATAGCTGTGTCCATAGCTTGCAGAAAATGTTAACTGTGTAAGTTAAAATTACTGCAAATTACTGCAGCTGTGACCACAGTCACACCAAAACAAGACCAGGATTTAGGTTTCCAATCCAAACATATCACCAAAATCACCTAGGTTCTCTCCCACAAGTTCCTCTTCTAGACTTATACCACTGCTACACACAAAATGTAATCATCTGATTCTCCACACATTCCTGGTGAATCAAAGAGCTGATAAATCTTTTGCCTGCAACCCTTGCTCTCCTTCTCAGAATACCAAATCTGTGAATGTAGCACTGGGATATAATTATTGTATATGTTTGTAAATTAAATAAGCACAGCAGATGATAGTGCAGATGGACAGAGCAGGATTGTGGGCCTGGATTAGCTTTAGGCTGGTGTTTCATTTCCAAATAAGGTAAGAATCTGGCTTCCAATTTAACCACACTAAAATCAGACACAGGTTTCTCATTAGCTATCAGCCCTAACAGGCTATAACATCTGCCTAAATAAGAAAGAAAATCTCCTTCATTTCTGGATGTGACCAAGAAAAAAAATTATAAAGATATGTCCTAATCTAGGCTTTGAGTGGAAACAGCCCATAGAGCTGGACACTGAGAAATTTGTGCAAAATGTCAATTTAGCCTGATTTCTAGATATATTTCAAGACAGTTTATTTCCCCCTTACCAAATAACCCTTCAGTCTTCTACTGCTAAAAATATGACTAAGAAGAGAAAAAGTATGAGCATCATTGTTGAAGGCAAGAGGGGGAGACCTCACCTGAAATGAGGGGTTAAACTATGCTCAGCCCTGTTACATAAACATAAGCTGAAGCTACAACTTGGATGCTCCAGGAAAACTAATCACCTCATTTTTTTAAGATGAGAAAGGCAGGAACTTCTTGATAAATCCTGGATTTGGTACATCTGAATGAAGGCTATCATTGGTTATGACTTTTGCAGAGGAAATGAACGCTGTCAGATGTCCTGTATGCTAAAGGACAGTGTTTGAACAAGAACGAAAGGATTCAGACTAGCCACAGCTTATGTTAGGCTGGAAATCAGAGCTTGAAATCAGAGTTTGAAATCCTGAGAGCATTTGGAACAGGTACGAGCTGGAGCAGTTGGGGGAAAAAATACCCACGCTCTCAGACAGATCTTGATAGGAATAGAGAAAGCACTATATGATGTGGTATCTACAAGAGTGGGAGAATGGATCTGATAGTCCAAGAAGTCCCTTCCTAACTCATTACCCTAAACCTAATGTAATTTGTATGTACCTTTTAAGAAGCTGAAGGAGAACAGTGGCTGCTTATGATGATCAGGATGATTAGACAGCAAAAGAATGTGGTTTTGTTATTTTGGCTCAGAGCTGCCACATAAAGAGGCTAAAGAGTAGAAGCTGGAACTGGGTCTTGGCTCCTGCCAGTGCTTGCGGGCAGGCAGAGTCAGCAAAAGCCATGTTCTGTTTTTAGCAAAGCAGGCAGAGGTGACCCTGTGGAGGCATACCATTGGAGCCTCTAGGAACCCTGCTAGCGTGGGACCTGCATATTTGGCTAAGCACTGGGGAGAAGGCCTGAGGCTGAGTGATGCAGACCACAGCTCTAGTTTATGGGAGTGAGGTGTCCAGTAAAAGACCAGAGAAAAAGGAGATATAACTTTGTGCAAAGGCAACCACATGCCACTGCTGCTAGTGGTGTCTCACTGCCACCTGATGTCCAAACTAAGTTTGGGAAGACCTCCTCGATCTTGTAATGGATCCCTCTGTGTTGCAAACTGTCCTGTACCCTGCGGGACAACATTTCTCTGTTCCTTCCAGAAAGTGAAAATTACATCTAATATACAGTATAAACTCACAGTATAGTATATAGCATACATATAGTATACAGCATACATATAGTATACACATAGACATCTCTATTCATTTTATATAGCCTGGAGGAGACTGAGGGGAGACCTTATTGCAGTCTACAACTTCCTCATGAGAGGATGAGGAGGGGCAGGCACTGATCTCTTCTCTATGGTGACCAGTGACAGAGCCTGAGGGAATGGCCCGAAGTTGTGTCAGGGGAGGTTTAGGTTGGGTATTAGAAAGAGGTTCTTCACCCAGAGGTGGTTGGGCACTGGAAAAGGCTCCCCAGGGAAGTGGTCACAGCACCAAGCCTGACTGAGTTCAGAAAGCATTTGGACAATACTCTCAGGCACATTGTGTGACTCTTGGAGATGGTCCTGTGCAGGGCTAAGAGTTGGACTCATGGATCCTTGTGGGTCCCTTCCAACTTGGCATATTCTGTGATTCTGTGAAACCCAAAGGGTTGTATAAAAGATTAGTCTTTTTGTTAAAGCCATTGTTATAAATTCCGCTAGTTTAATCTAGCAGGTAAAATTGTAAATAACAATTGTTAGCACACCAGAACAAAAGAAACCCTCAAGTTATAAGCACTATTTAGCGATACAGAAGCTTAGTCCAACACATTCAGTCTAGAAAGCCGGGATAAACTTGCAGAGCAAGTCCAGTATAGTTCAAGAACAGCTGGATCCTCATATGCTGTGCCTCAATCATCATTCTAGCAATAGAGGCAAGATTTTACCACTCAGTATTACACAAGAGCCACAACACAGGAGTTTTTACTGGAGTGTTTAAAAACAGACAATCCCTAGCTGCAGTAAGTAGAATCACTATGAAATACTGTGTTTGTAGGACCATCAGGACTGATTCTAGTGCTGCACACTGCTGCACTCAGAAGGGATTTCTCATGCACACGGTGCACGCAACAGGACAGCCTCACCGAAAAATGGGAAAGAAAACTTTCAAACCAGAGCTACAGGTTAGATTACTTTGTTACAGCACCAGGTACCTGGCGGGTATCTCTGCCTATCACGCACATGGAGATTCACATTTCTGTTGCTTATATCCAACTTATTGTAGGCATATGTATTTACATTCTCAGAAGTTTCCACCTATTTCCAAGAATCTTTATTCATGTTAATTAATTACATAGATCTTATTACACATGCACACATATTTGGGAAGGGGTCATTTGAGGGGTCTCTAGCATTTATTTGGGATGGTACCCTACCTCTTTTTATCGTTATTTGGTCACAAATACAGGTTTTCAAGTTTGGCATGCTTCTATCTTGTTATATTCAGCAACGAAACCAGACTGTCCAACTCCCATAGAGGAACTTCTGGTTTATTACTGGCATAAAAAAACTGCCGATAAAAGATCATCTGATTATTACTGACATATAAAACTCCTTTGTTTATTCGAGCAGGCCCTTTCTTATTTCAACAGAAGCTTTTTGGCATCAATGGCAGCGAGCAGAAGGTGCGGGCACTGCACGGAGCCCAAGGCCTGGAAGCAAGGGTACAGGACAGTTAGCCACTCTCGGGGGAAGGTCAGGGACACGAAGGATGCGAATAGAGCCCTGACTGACTCCAGCGCCATTTTGAGGAGGGAGCGGCCCCTCCCGCCCGGGCCCGGCCCGCAGGCGCGGTGCGGCCACGTGACGGGGTCAGCTGAGCGCGGGGGAGCGGCCGGCGCGGCTCGGGGGGCGCCGAGGCCGGAGCCGGGGCTGGAACCGGGGCCGGTGTCGGCCATGGCCTCCATCCTGGACGAGTACGAGGATTCCCTACACCGCTCCGCCTCTGTGCAGCAGAGCCGCGCCAGTGTGGGCATCCCGCACTCCGGTAGGTGTCCTCCTGCACTCGGCGGGGCCTTCGGTGTGCGGGTCTTCCTGCTGAGAGCGAGGAGGCGAGTGGGCAGCTCCGGGTGGTGATAGGATGTGTCAGGCTGTGGGGAGTGCTTCCAGGAAAAGGTGTATCGCTGTGTGGGTCGCACAGCTTTCAGCTGCGGTTTGTTTCTCCGTTGTTTGCTGTGTGAAATGCTTTGACAGAGGGAGCACCTGATTGCTGGTGGAGCACAGGGGTGATGCAGCGCCTTAGCAGAACTGAGGTGCTGCTGTCTGTGGGAGGGTCTGCACGGCCCCTGTGCCGTGCGGTGCGAACACGCGTGCACCAAGTGGCCTATGCCTTTGTAGTCACAAGTTATAACCAACCACACCTCAGCCCTGCCCCGCTCAGAGCTGTGGTAGCTGGTTGAGAACATTTCATCACTTTGCTTCCTCTTTTATCTCCTCTCTGAGGAAGCCAGCTGTTACAGTGTTATGGATGTGTGCACAGCTGTACCTGTATGAAGTTAGTTTCCTAACTCAGGGGCAGTTTCCGAAGACTTCATTTCTTTCGAGTGGTTCCTTTAGGCTGACTACATGATGGCAAGGTTACCAAGAAAGCAGTCTGTGTCACTATTAAACTTTTCTGTCAAGATCTGTGAAGCTTTGGTATACTGTCCTATTCAGGGAGGTGTCCAATTGATGTAAAGTGATGGTGTGATCCCCAGTCAGTTGTTTCTTTCCTGTGAGAGAAAGCAAACAAATGGCAGGAATATTCCATGATAAATTCAAGCTTTATTAGGTTCAATAACCATTCCCTATTAGATACCACCATTCACCATTTTGTTGGGTGTGGCAGGGAAACATAGGTTATGAGACGATTCTGTTCTCTCTGGTATTGTCATGGTAGTACCAGCTGCTGTGCAGAGCTGGCATTTTTGAGTTACAAGTGTGGAAATACATGGACACATTCTTTCAAATTTTTTCTTCATATGGTCTTGCCCACTGTGAATCTTCAGGGAAACCAGGTTGTGAGGTTCATATATGCAGTAAGAATTGATGAATTCTGTCATGCTGTGGATATTATTGAGTGTAAATATGCTGGCAGAATTACTCTGAGCCTAAGTACTGAAGTAGGTATGTTCCTCTTGTTTGTTTTGACATAAATTGTTATTTTGTATTGTAATGTTAGATAAAGAATAAGTGGCCTGAAGAGGTGTTGTGCAGAACAGTGTTGGGACAGGCCAGGTCACTGAAAATAAATTTTGAAGGCCTCAGCTTTTCTTCTTGACTGCTGCAACACCTGTCTCCAGTCATGGCTGCTTTACAGTTGAGAAATCTGCCTGTTTGCTGACAGTTGATGTTGGTGAAGGAAGTTGGGGAAACTGGTAAATGGCAAAGGCACAGCCTAATCAGCATTTTAATTATTCTTAAATCAGACCAGACTGGCAATTTTTAATAAAACTTGGGCTGGTAAAACTTGTGGGCAATCTGAAGTTTAAGCAAATTTATTTTGGAAAAAGATACAATAGTTAATTTCCTGAAAGCAGTCCATAAGGTTAGATTGGAAATTTTGGAAGATGTTGAAACATATTTCTCAGTTTCAGTTAGTTGTCCCCTGCATTTGTTAAACTGCAGGTATTGTTTCTCAAAGTTGTAGATAACCAAGCAGTGACACTCTATCCAACCTAAAGTCCTGCTGAGTTGTGTATTGAGTGTGCTTCAAAGTGGTGCTGGTAGTCCCAGTTTAGAGAATGTTAGGCCTATGCTCTGTAGGGCAGAAGTAGTGGGTAGCTTCTATGGTAGTGTCTGCTCAGAGCCCTCTTTGTGCTGTGTAATACCAACCTGTCTTGAACAAATAAACTGTCAGTCAAGGAAAACAAATTATTATGTGATTCTACTCTCATTTTCAGCTCTTTTTGCAGTTTATGTGACAGTTTTCTGGCATCCCCTGCAATTCGATGTGCTTTCAAATTAACACTTACGACAAGTCTGCAGTTCTGTGACAAGACAGTAAAGCATATTATTACTTTTCTTTCCTGTTATACATATCTACATGAGTGCTGCTCTCTGTGTTCATGCTCCATGGAGCACGCATTTTTCAGTAAAACTCGGAGCAGGCAATGATCCTTCTAGTCTTTTAGGTTGGATTTTGATGCAGTATGGGATTATTGTTGCGGTGTTTTGTCTTATTTAGTTTTTAAGTGTTCGCATTCTCTCTCCAGGCTATGTGAATGCACGACTGGAGAAGGAAACACCAATATTTAACAAGCAAAGGATTGATTTTGCTCCTCCAGAGAAAATTAACAGCTTAGTGGTCTCCTCTAACCAGCTCTGTATGAGCCTTGGCAAAGACACCATTCTCAGGTAATGCTACCAGAGTCCTGAAGTTTCTGCTTGTTTTCCCCGGCCTGTTTGGTTTTTTTTTTTCTTAAATTATTAGAGAACTTATATTTGCAAACTGGATAAGAAGTCATGAGCCAAATATGGAAAACAGGTAAGGAGTTACATGTACATGGCCTTCTGTTGGAAGCACGCTTTCATGGTTTCTCTTTGCAGGATTGATCTTGGGAAGCCAGATGAACCTAATCAGGTAGAGCTGGGACGCAAAGATGAAGCCAGAGTCTACAAGATGTTTTTGGACCACACAGGTGAGGCAGTGGACCATGTATATTTACAGACAGTGGTCAGTGGTGCAATTCAGCATGCATAACAAAGCTCTGGTGAAGTTTGCTTTCTGTTCTGTATATAAAGAGAACAGGTCAATCTTCTGGGCCAGGCTCTGTTGCCCAGGGCCCCTGCTTACTGATTTGCCCTTTTGCTAGTAGTAAATCACTGGCTTGTTGTGTCTGTGTTGTGTTTCAGAACTCTCTAAAATGAACACATGCAATTAGGCTGTTGTAAGCAAGGCTGCTAAAGCCAATAAAAGGAAATTTTTGGCCATCACTCTGTGCTGTATGGTTTATGTAAGGATTTTTAAAAAGGACCATAAAACATCTGCAGTTTGTAGCCTTGACTGATTTTAAAAAACTAAATGAAAGTTTGGAAGGAGATGCTTGTATCTCTCACCAACTCCCAGGTGTAGTAGGGAACTCTGGGAACTGTTTATCCTTAGGACACTTATTGAAACACAATACCTTCTTGCTAAAGCATCTGGGACTAGTAATGTAAGTTTGCAACATATGGACTACCATTCTGATCCAACATGGAAATCCCCCACATTCCTGTGAATGCCTGGGAAAGTGTTGGATTAAGTATGTTGATATTAGAATTTATCAAATGTTAGGATTAGAAGCCTCAGGAATTTGGCTTGCTTAGGCACAGTCTTAATTCGTTCTCTCCTTCTCCTTCCCATACCCATCTCCTGTTGGCAGGCTCCCATCTCCTGATTGCTCTGAACACCAGTGAATGCCTTTACCTGAACAGAAGTGTTCAGAAAGTGCGGGCACTCTCTCGCTGGAAAGGACACTTGATTGAAAGTGTGGGCTGGAACAAATTTCTTGGTTCAGAGACCAACACTGGGCCCATCCTGGTGGGGACATCCCAGGGGCAGATCTATGAGGCTGAAATCTCTGTCAGCGAAGGAAGCCTCTTCAGCACTAACCCTGACCAGTACTTCCGACAGGTCTACACTTTGGAAGAGGAATCAGGACCTGCCCCAGTCTGCTGCTTGGAGATTGAACGAGGGATAGAAGGGAAATTTTTTATTATCGCAACCACTAGGAAGAGACTCTTCCAGTTTGTTGGCAAAGTGCCTGAAGGAACAGAGCAGCAAGGCTTCAGCTCCATATTTGCTATGCATGCTGACCATTTGCCCAGCTTTCGGGAGTTTCCAGCCAACTTGGGATTCAGTGAGATAGCCTTTTACACTCCAAAACTGCGCTCCAACCCACGCTCCTTTGCCTGGATGATGGGAAATGGTGTTTTATATGGTACGTTGGATTATAGTCGTCCTGATTCCATTTTGAGTGATGAACGGGTCTGGGTTTATCCTGCTGATATTGACATAACTGTGAACAAGCCAATATCCATTGTACTTACCCAGTTCCACTTCCTGTTGCTGCTGCCTGACCGGGTGAAGGCTGTATGCACTCTGAATGGACAGGTTGTTTTCCAAGATCTCTTCCTGGAGAAGTTTGGCCTGCTGACGTGCATGATCAAAGATCCCACAGTCCAGCAGATATGGATCCACACTGAGAAAGTAGTGTTCCGCTACCATGTCCAACGGGAATCTAGAGATGTGTGGAAGATGTATATGAATATGAACAAATTTGATTTAGCTAAAGAGTATTGTAAGGACCGTCCAGAGTGTCTAGATATTGTACTGGCAAAGGAGGCAGAGCACTGTTTCCAAAACAAGAGGTATCTAGACAGTGCCAAATGTTACGCACTGACCCAGAACTACTTTGAGGAAATTGCTCTGAAGTTCATTGAAGCCAAGCAAGAAGAGGCCCTGATGGAGTTTCTGATTAAGAAGCTAAGTAACCTAAAACCTTCAGAGAAGACACAGACCACTCTGCTGACCACGTGGTTGACAGAGCTGTACCTGAACTGGCTGGGTATATTGGAAGGAGATCCCTCACAGCGAAATCTCTACTTAGATACACGGGAGAAGTTTCGCACTTTCCTGAGCAGTCCTAAAAACAAAGACTGTCTTTTTAATAATCGGGCATCTATTTATGAGCTGTTGGCAAGCCATGGTGACACAGAGCACATGGTGTACTTTGCAGTCATCATGCAGGATTACGAGCGTGTAGTAGCTCACCACTGCCAGCATGATGAGTACGATGAGGCTCTAAATGTGTTGTCCAGGCACAGAGACGAGAAGCTGTTCTACAAGTTCTCTCCAGTTCTCATCCAGCATATTCCCAAGAAGGTAGTTGATGCTTGGATTTCTATGGGCTCTAGACTGGATGCCAGGAACCTCATTCCAGCCCTTGTTAACTATAGCCAGAGTGCCAGCACCCAGCAGATCAATGAAGCCATTAGATATATGGAGTTCTGTGTCTATCAGTTGGAGGAAACCCAGCAAGCCATTCACAACTACCTGTTGTCTCTTTACGCTTTATGTCGGCCAGACTCACTGCTATCATACCTGGAGCAAGCAGGAACCAACCCAAACAGGATCCACTATGACCTGAAGTATGCATTGCGCCTGTGTGCAGAGCATGGGCACCACCATGCATGTGTCCATATTTACAAAGTGATGGAATTATATGAGGAGGCTGTGGATCTCGCTTTACAGGTGTGTGTGTGTCTGTGCATGCTATGATATACAGCAATGTAGCTTATTCAAGTTACCTTGAACAATGGAGCATTGAGAGGAACTGGACAGACTCATCAGGATTGAAGCTGTGCAGCTAAGGCTAGGAGGAAAGACCTGTCTCTATTAACATACTTCTATGCTTTCACAATTGTTTTAAGTAGACAGCTGACTGTTAAAAGCCATAACTGAGGGTAGGGCCGTGGAAAGCACAAGGGGGAGTACTGTCTGTCTTAAGCTTAGTCTCTGACATAAAATACCTTTAACATATCTGCCTTTATGCAAGACTTGTATAGCTACTGTTAAGGATTCTAATTACTTCCTGTTCCTAGCTGTGAAAATTGTCACAGAAGAATGCCTTCGTCAGCTTAATCTGACCTTCGCTGAGATGCTGGATTTTTTTCTCTTGGCCTTGCTATGTCTTAGCTGAAATGTGTGACCAGCAAAGATACTCTAACATGGATTTGCCCTTTTTGTGCTGGGCTTTGTTCTCTGTTGGGTAGCAAGCGAATCATCATGGGGGAATACTAGTGGAGAGGAGAGATGTTTGACATGTAAACAAGGAGCAGGCCTGTAGTGCAGTCCTAGGCAAAGAGAAGTTTTCTGTTATTTCCTCCTATAATGGACAGCAGGCTTTGAAGTTGAATGGTGGATAAACAAAGAGGGAAACTTAACTCTGTTTCCTTGTCTATCCAACTTCTAGGTGGATGTTGATCTTGCCAAGTCCTGTGCAGATCTTCCTGAAGATGATGAAGAACTCCGAAAGAAACTGTGGTTGAAGATCGCTCGGCATGTTGTTCAGGAAGAGAAGGATGTCAAGAAGGCAATGGCCTGCCTGTCCAGTTGTGCCCTGCTGAAGATTGAAGATGTGCTGCCATTCTTTCCAGACTTTGTCACTATTGACCATTTCAAGGAGGCAATCTGTAACTCGCTGGAGGACTACAACAAACACATTGAGGAGCTGAAAAGGGAGATGGAGGAAGCCACACAGAGTGCCAAGAGGATCCGAGAGGACATCCAAGAAATGAGAAATAAGTATGGGTCTGTGGAACCTCAGGAAAAATGTGCTGCTTGTGACTTTCCACTTCTAAACCGCCCTTTTTACCTTTTCCTGTGTGGTCACATGTTTCACTATGACTGTCTCCTCCAAGCAGTTTTCCCAAACCTTCCTGCCTATAAGCAGGCAAAACTTGAAGATCTTCAGAAGAAGCTGGCAGCTACCAGTCAGCCGTCCAAGAGCCACCATCGTCCCAAGGATGCAGATACCATTAGCCTGGGGAAGGGACAGCAGAGTCGGGAACAGATCAAAGCTGACATTGATGATATCGTGGCAGCAGAATGTGTGTACTGTGGTGAGCTGATGATCCGATCCATTGACAAACCTTTTATTGATCCCCAAAAGTATGAAGAGGAGATGCAAAGCTGGCTGTAGTTTTTCCGAATCTGCAGCTGTCAGTGTGTGAGAGTAGTTTTGTTCACAACTTGTGAAACTTCTGCGGTGGCAGTATAACCTCCAGGAGCAGGAATATGGTGACTTCTGTGGAACTCCAAGGAGAGTAGTGGGGTCTTTTTACCAGGATTACAGAGAAGTAGTCCTGAAAAATGGGGAGATACAGCTATGGCTGTTTAAGAACTTTAGCAATAGTTAGAACTAACTTACATCCTGGAATATATTTAGCAGATGTTTGCTGCTTGCAGTTCTTCTGAGGTTCTCAATGGGAAGCTAATGGAGTGTTTTGCTGTCCAGAAGGAATTGGGAATAGCCCATGATTTGTCTTCCCTGTTGTGTGGTATTTGTTTTGGTGAAGACAAGCTTAAAGGGAAAGATAGTGAAGGACACTAAGCAATGTAGTCTTCATTTATCACTTTCAAAGCTGGAATTGTCATCTGTTTCCTTTTTGCTGAGAATCTATAACCACATACATGGGAGGAACATGAAAGGACAAATGCTCTTGCGTATGTATTTTGTAAACATCATGCTACACAAATACATGTTTCTATGCAATGGCGATGTAAGAATGTGTATAATTCTCAAGCAGGAGTGTCTCATAATACACTAAAATAATTTGCCTGCAATTCAAGATGTGTAATTCTCTTTCTCACAAGCTTTATGCACAAGCCTATCCATTTGAATTTTCTCTAGGTATTGTTTCTGGAAATGCTTGTTCACCCATTTCTCCCTCTCTCCATGCTGTTCCTACTATGACTGCCTTTGTATAGCGGGTCTTGGTTTTGTCTTCACCCCAAACCAAAATTGATATATGCAGTAATAAGGTTTCATCTGATGTTCTGCAAGCAGAAACACAACCTGTTTGTATTATCCTGAAGTGGTCCTCTTCAAGCTGCACTTGATACAGAGATCTAGTTAGAGTTTCACTCAGTCATAGTCTACGGAAAAGTTCTGTGGTGTGAAATTTTGCTTTGCCCTTTAAAACCAGTACCTTGTGCTTAAAAAATCTTTTGCTTTCCTGGTAGTATTTGATACTTTCTGAAAATGGCTGTAAGTCACTGCTTCTATCTGTTGCTCCAATTTGGAAAATTCTTCCCAGAAGATAGCAATCACTACTTGTGAGTGAGGGAACAAAATATTTTCTTTAGAGATTTAACAAGAGTTCCTTACTTATTTAAAGAAAATAAAATTTTAATTAAATTTTGCCATTTGGGGCTAAATCACAAAGGTAGTAATTGACAGAAGAATTGAATGTTCTAAAAGGAGAAAATCATAGTCTTGTAATTAAGACAATAGAAATTACTGTCTTCTGAAAAACCTTTTCAGTTCTTTCATATGAATGTGCTTATCTCTCAATCTCCTAATCTCCCTGTTCATAGGGTTGTAGAAATGGGTCTTCATGTTAGTATAAATTGGTGTCCTCAAGGATCTGACCTAAGAGTTATGGTAACAATTCAGAACTTCAGAAGAACTTCTATGCTTTTATTGGGAGCTAACCTGGAATGAATGAATTTTATCTGTGTAAAATGACATGAGTAATAAAGAACAGATCTGACGGTAGGAAGACCTGAGGTTTCGAAATCCTCTTTCCTTTGTCGGAGCCATGGGATAGGCAGTCTTGTTACCACCTGGTGGTGTGTGTTTCTTGGCTTATCAGAAACCACTGTTTCAGTGGTTCCATTAAGAGGCGGCTCAGAAACCCCCATGTGTGGTTTTCTCTGGCTCTAGGAGTGCGCACCAGATGCATATACCACAAATCTCATGCTTCCTCACCACTGTTAACTGAAAAATCATTTACGTGATTTGTTGTCAAGGTTGTGGAGAGTGTTACTGCCAGCAAAGACTGCAGCAGTGATTAAATGACTGGTGCCAGTAGTACAGGAAGCTACATAAAGGTATCTTCTGAACTTTCTTTGCACTGTCAAATGTTTCAAAAGTTTCAATAACCACTCGTGCTTCTTGACAATTTTTGCGGTGTCACTCGGTGAAAAAGGTAAGAGGGTTTGTTTTCTTGGGAGGCAGGTGGGTATGTGGTGGTGGAGGGAAGTGAACTGCTTACTGTTCTCCCATAAATCTAATCTGCAAGGTCTTTCTCTTTGCTTTCAGAATAGCGTTTTTATCTTTTCTCCTTGTAATTTCAACATAGTTACATTTTAGGACTCAGTCCTTTGTTTTTTTAGCTATGAATGAACTGTATACCAGCTGTTACAAATGGTGTGGCCTTGGGCTTTGTCCTTGTCTGTGTGAATAACCTCTACCATTTAGTTTAATGCAGCTAAAGAACAGCATAACCAAAAAGGTGGTTGGGACCCCCAGCCCTGTGTACCCAGAAAAAATACCTGTAGCTAGATCTACACTGAAGAAATTAAATTGTGCAGGCAAGACCTAAAGCAAACTTGTGCCTACTACATCACGTCTCCTAGGCCTTGAGCCAAGGGATGGGGGGAAATACTCAGAGTTTGGGGAGACAATGGCGAGTGTGTGTGTTGAAAGAGTTTGTAGAGCATTTCAGGTGCACTTGCTGTTGATCTGTGTTGTTGGAAGCAGCTAACTGAAACTTGGAGAACAGTGTGTTCTGTCTCCTTTCGAAAAATGAATGCCCAGGCTGGAAATTTAGAAAGGCAAATTCTTAACAAGCCACTAGATGTCATTGCTGTCCATTTAAATACTGAGGTTTACTGCATAGAGCTACAGGTGTTCTGTAGCAGAAGAAAGAATAGTACAAAAGCGAGGAACTGAACCAGGATCCCAGCACCTTTGGAGGTGTGTGGATACAGACCTCTAAGGTAGTTACTGGAGGTAAAGATGTTAAAAAATTGTCTTTAACTAAAAGGCAATTTTGTTCCCAGATCCCTGTTTTTCAGGTTTTGAGTATCAAAAGATGCATTTACTCTGTTAATTAAGTAAGTATCATAAAATTGTAAAATCATTTATGTTGGAAAAGACCTCTAAGATCATCAAGTCCAACTGCTCACCCAGCACTGCCAAGTCCACCACTAAACCATGTCCCCAAGTGCCACATCGACATGCCTTTTAAATACCTCCCAGGATGGTGATTCTGTCACTTCCCTGGACATCCTGTTCCAATGCCTGACCACTCTTTCATTGAAGAAATTTTTCCTGATATCCAATCTAAGTCTCTCCTGGCACAACTTGAGGCTATTTCCTCTTATCCTGTCATTTGTTACCTGGGAGAAGAGACCAACCTCCCCCTTGCTACAACCTCCTTTCAGGTAGTTGTAAAGAGCAATAAGATCCCTTCTAAGCCTCCTTTTCTCCAGGCTAAACAACCACAGTTCCCTCAGCCACTCCTGCTAAGACTTCTGCTCCAGACCATTGTTACTCTTTGGACACGCTCCAGCACCTCAATATCTGTCTTGTGGTGGGAGGCCCAAAACTGAACACGGTGTTTGAGGTGCAGCATTTTTTGTTAGCTGTATTGTAGTGTAAGTTCTCTACAGACCTAGTTGATTTAATAAACTGTAGAGAGATCATCCTTGGGCTTGGAGTTGTAGTATCTGGTGGCCTCGGGCCTGGCCATTTTTGCTTGCTTCCTCTTCACTTTGTCCTGACAGCAGATGCACAGACTGGGAGCCAGCTCCTTAGTTGCCTGAGTTCACATTTAGTGTGTCTTGTTAAAAGCACCAGTAAAGCTGGATTTGTAATATGATATTGGACACTGGCTTGCATAAACAGGTAAGTTAGTATGTTTGCTTTTGCCTCTGAGTTGGGGGGTCATAATCCCAATAAAACTGCAAGTGTGGGAGTAAGTACATCTTGTACTCCATCAAAATAAGATGTTGTAGTTTGACTCAGACTGTAGTCATGCATTAGCATGTATTTCTTGGAAAGGGTAGTTCCCAGTCGCCACTGTACTGTCAATGTAAACATATAGACTGTCTTTGTTTACAAGTGCAAATTCTTAGTTTCTAGTGGGGTTTCATTCCTTGCATCACTTCATCCAGCAAACCTGTACTGAGCTGTGGGAAGGCAGAATAAAACTAGGCCTCTTCCTTGCAACAAGTATGCTGAGCTGAAATGTGAGGTTTGAAACGTACAGGACTTACAGTGTTTTTTATTTTTAATTTGTTATTATTCAGATGCATTAAGTATTTTTACCCAGAATAGATGGAGTACCATGTGATTCACTGAGATATGTGTAGTGTTCATGGGAGAATCTTAAGGCATCCGCAGAGAGAGGCTGGCAAGGATCTTCTGTCTTTTTTGTACATCAAGGAAGGGACACCCTAGAAAGGAAAGGGAATGGTGGTTTCTGTAAAATAATTTGGCCAAACTTTATGTATCTGACTTCAGGGAAGCTTCCTCAATGAAACTGTAATATTGATGGATCTGTACTATTCACACTGAGGTACTGAGGAAGAAAAAAATAATTTCCTTTGGAGTAAGAATTTTGATAAAATTGAAAAGCTTAGGGCTTGAAAGTGGAACATTACAGGCATGCCCTAAATTTGCAGTGAATTATGTATGGGTTCAGCTCCTAAGCTGTCTGCTGTCTCTGAGTGTGCCCAGTCCAGACTTAACACCTTTTGAACCCTGTAGGATTTGAGTTTCATGCCTGTACTGTGATTTTGGAGACGTGTGATACTTCCCCCTTGACTCAGTGTTTGTTTTTTTTCACTCCCAGATTTCATGGAAAGGCATCAGGCTACTTATTTAGAGAATAAGCTTTAAGGCAACCTGGCCTGCAGCTGCTTTCAGGTGAAAGGAGGGGAAAAAGATTAAACAAACTTGTTAGATCTACGTGTTGAAACTGGCTGGGATGGAGAGAAAAAGGGGCTCAGGCATTTCCTCTCTGTAATGGCCAAAGGTATTGGAGGCAGCTTGTTTAAGTAAGACTGGTTCCTTAGGAATAGGGAAGCTACAGGAGCACTCTAAGGTTACGAGTAGAGCTGTAACTGATCCTACACACTCTCTTTGTCATGGTGGGACAGCTCAGCAGAGGACAGTTTCCAACTTGCAACAAGTCAGTATTGGGTTCAGACTTGCCACAGAGCTTCACGACCCCTATGATGATGGTGGTAGAGCTGTTTGAATTTAACACTTGAGCCGCAGAGCTTGGCTGGTGCGGGAATGAGCACAGCTTGATGTGACTGTAGAACATCAGGCTGTCTCACTACACAGAGAGATTTTCATCATATGCTTCTAAGCACCACATAAATATCCTTGTTTTATAAAGGAACATACAGGCTATACGTGATATGTGACAGATAGTAATTTTGGCATTTCCCTACTTTCCAGGAATTCATATATTCCTGCTGTGCTGCTGTGGTGGCTGTAGGCTGTGCTGTCTTCAGAAGAGGATTAGATCTAGCCTTTTGTTTGTTTAACACATGGTTTGTTTGCTTCATCTGAGCTCGGAATACTATTTGTTGGTAGAGGTTTATTACAACTGAAAGTATTCAGGAGAAGCTGAACCATAGCCTAGCCCTCATTTCATATTGAATGGTTCATTGTAGGTGGTGGCTTATAGAAAAAGGGTTGAACAACTGGTTTGCTATCCAACACCAGGTATTCTCTACTTCATGCAATTCAATTCCAAGTGCCAGTCACTTGGCATGGGGCATGATCTTCAGAACACAGCCTGAACTTGGAGGCTGCTGGACTCTACTTAAGCAGACATCTGTGTTTCCCAATTAGTCAGTTATTCAACAGTCTTTTTTCATCTCTTTGTGTGTACATACTGAATAGATTTTCTAATAAATAAGTTACTGCAGTGGAACTGGGTTCAAAATAAAGTTGTTCTTCAATCTACCGATTCTTCTTTTATTTTCTCACATTTATTAAAAGCAAGGTGCACAGTGTGGTTTTGAGGGATGTCACAGACAAAGAGCATGAGGGTTGATGGATTATTTCTTTAGGACTCTACAGACTCTACATGACAATTATTAGCAGCTGGCCTGACTGGGTTAGGTGGCTGCTGTATTGTTTTTCACCATGTGAACAAGATACTCTCTGGTAAGAGCCTGTGAAGTCATGAGTAGTAAAAAATTGTTGGCTATTTAATATGATTTTAGCAAAATAACTGTTGTCCAATTTTTCTCATAGTAGCTATCAACATAATTTTTATCTAAATAAAATATTCCACATGTAGCTGAACCATATGTTGCCATCATTGATAACAGGGCTGTAAACTTTGATCTGCTCATGCTGTTTGACAGAGTTGAGCAGAATGTTGCTGGGTGAGGAGGAAACAGAGACTTGAGGCTTACTCTCCTAGATGTCCCAATTCTTTGTTTAATACTTGCCTGTGTGTCACAGCATGACTGTCTCAGATCGACATCGGCATTTGTGTTACAGTGATACTTTCTGCTGAGCAGCCTTTTTGGGAGAAAAACAATTCCTTATGTTCTTCAGTCTGTTTCAAACTTGCCTGCTTGCCCAGTTAATGAGATTGGAATAACTAGGACCATGTCATCTTTCTATGTTCTTCTGAAAGGTTGTTTATGGTAATCCTCAGTATATGCTTCAAAGACTTGCAGTGGCAGGGTTTCCAAAGCAAAAAATATTTTAGTACAGGAAACATCTAATGAAGGGGGAACAGAA